GGCGCAGCTGACGCCGCCTCGCACGTTTGCGCGCGTCCTGCTGTGCCGCGTTGCGACGCGCCGATTTGCGGGGACGCTCGCGGCGTCGAGTGCCGTCATCACGCTGGCCGGTTGTCCTTGCTCCGCACGAGGTCCTCGCATAGGACAGCTGCCCAGCCCTTTTTTTTTTTTTTTTTTTGCAGGGCAAGAGCTTTGAGTCCCACTTTCACCATTTGCTGCTTCTTCCCTCCTGAATTAAAAAAAAAAAAGAATAATTATAACGATAATTTTTTTTTAAAGATTTATTTATTCACACAGAACTGGGGTACAGGCCAGAAATGCAGAGGGCGAGAGGCTTCCCCAGAGACAGAGCGGGGAGCAGAACAGGCAGACAGACAAAGTACACGGCTGAGGGGAGCAGCGGGCGGTCAGGAGAGGTCTGCCGCGCCCTGGGGTCACCTCCGGGGCAGGCGGGGATCGAGCTCATGTGGAAGCGGCTTTAGCTTCTCAGTGCTGTGCTGTGACCCGCTGCGCCACCAGGGAGGGCCATAACGATAATTTTAAATGACTTTGATGCCGATTATAAATTCAAGATGTTCATGCTATAGTTAAGAGAGAACTAAACAACACGGGTGACTGGCTGATGGGAAGCCCACGGGGATGACAACTGAAGTGGGAAAAAGCACAAAATGATGTAAAAAAAATATTATGAAAAAATAAATAAGTAAATAAAAAGATAGTACTAAACAATATTTATAACGAGATACAATTCTTAAATATGCAGTTTGTTAGGTTTCTAAGCAAAGCTCAGATCCACGCAGAACTAGTCTAAGAGACGTCAAAAGAGTGGAGTGAGGTTACAGGCGGCAGGGGAAGGTGAAGAGCGGTTCTAAATTCTGGAAATTTTCCCTGTCTCAGGCTGCAGAGACAACTAAACACAAAGGTATTCATTGACAAACAGCCACTAAACATTAAGATTTATGCACGTTACATTGTGTGTCAATGTTGCAATACAAGTTTGCCTCAAAAGCACTGTCATAGGATTAACAACAGGAAAAAATTTTATTGCTTTAAATTACATTAATTTATTAAGTACATATCCTGAGAAAGAAGAGGAAAATCTACAAATCAAGTTTGTTCTACCTCGATAAAAAAATTTATCCCCAAATGTAGTTAGTCAGAACCACGAATTAAAAAAAAAGAGAATCAGCCCTCCCTGGTGGCGCAGCGGGTTAAAGCGCAGCACTGAGAAGCTGAAACCACTTATGCACGAGTTCGATTCCTGCCTGCCCCGGGGGTGGCCACATGGCGCGGCAGACCCCTCCTGACCCGCCCGCTGCTCCCCTCAGCAGTGTGCTTCGTCAATCTGCCTGTTCTGCTCCCCGCTCTGTCTCTGGTGAGGTCTTTCGCCGCCCCTGAGTCTCTGGCCTGTACCCCAGTTCTGTACGCACAAATAAATAAATCTTTAAAAAAAAAAAGAGAGAGAATCAGGAAAAAGAAAATGGAAATAGAGACACTGTATAAAAGGAAGACTAACAAACATGACTGAATGCAGCATTACTGGATTTTTCCTCATACACTTTTCTGTGTTTTTTAATGTTTTCTATTAAACTTCCTTATTGCAGTTCTTTCGTAAGTAGAAAAGGAACAATAAATGTAATTTTAAAACAAGATTTATTTATTTAGAAATACAGAACTGGGGTACAGGCCAGAGGTGCAGGGGCAGTGAGAGGATCCACTAAAGACAGAGTGGGGAGCAGAACAGGCAAACTGACTGACATACACTGCTGAGGGGAGCAGCGGGTGGTCAGGTGAGGTCTGCTGCGCCGGGGGTCAGCTCCCTGGCCCGGGATGGAACTCATGCTGAAGTATCTGTGTCTAGCTTCTAGTGCTGCGCTTTAACCCATTGTACTACCAGGGAGGGCCAGAATAAATGTGATTTAAAATTGAAAAATTTGTTCATCTCTATTTTTCTATATGCTTAATTTTGTAAGTAAAAACAGAAAAATATGAGGGAAAGAAGCCCAAAGGACTATGGTGGTGGACTATGGGTGTGTTACTATAGTGATACCTAATGAGGATACCCAAATATTACCTCAAATGAAAATAAATAAAAAGAAAAAAAGTAACAATAATCCCCTTTCTAACTAGCTCTCTAAAACAGGGCTGTTCTGTGTGTGGCAAATTCTATACAGTGACTACAGTGTGTTGAATATCTGCATCCTATTTTTCTCCCCCCCCCTTTTTTTTAAAGATGTATTTATATAATGCATACAGGAACTAGGGTACAGGCCAGAGATGGGGGGGGTGAGACCGGAGACAAAGTGGGGAACAGAACAGGCAGACTGAAATACAAGACAGGAGAGGTCTGCTGCGCCATGTGGGTCACCTCCCTGGCCAGAAATCAAACTCATGCTGTAGTGTCTGTGGATAGTTTCATAGTGCTGAGCTTTAACCCATTGTACCACCAGGGAGGTCCCCGACTTCCCTTTTCTAAAGAAAAGGGAAAGGAACTGTAATTAAAAACTAAGGGGACATTTCTGTTTTCCCTACCTTCTGCATGTCTGAACTATTGTATGTGTAGGAGAGATTTCTGGGAAGGAAGAAAACACAGCAGTCCCCTTCATCATTAGACATTGTAGCTACAAAGTGTTATTGCTGAATACAGAAAACCAAAGCCTCAAGTCCAGAACTACTACAGCATCAGCCTCATTGATGGGACAGTTTCAACAGAAGACATCCCCACCCCGAGTTCAGCAGGGTTTCAGATTCAGTCACTGTACACAGGATTTAGTGTTAAGGATTGAGTCCTTGAAACTTTAGCGTCAGGTGTTAACTCCAGGTAATTAGCATGAGAACTAAACACAACTAGCTGGGACTAAAACAGAACAAGTGAAGACAGAAAGACCACCGGCCTGAGCGCCCACTTGGGTTTGTAACAGTAAGTGAGGTAGGGGCAGTCTCTGCCTACAGTAAATTTCAGCTCTTTATGAACAGGTTTCTGAACTTGGAAACAGCCCTGTAGTAGAAGCAGCGTTACGCAAAGTTCCTGTCTCAAGCTGAGTCACTACATTCAGCTGTGACAAAACTCACCAGCAATCTTGTGAACCAAGCAGAATTTCAACAAAAATCGTTTTCACTGTGTCAGTCAGTTGGTTTTGTGTCTTATAATTAGCAATCTCCTCTTATTTAAAAAAAAAAGAAGAAGTATTCTAAGCATCTGAGCTCCCCTTATTTTTGGTCTTATGTATTTTTATTGTGGTAACATTGGTTTATAACTCAGATGTATGGGTTCACACCTTTGCAGGTGTTACTCCAGCACATAAGGTGCCCATATGAATCTGAATCCCTGTCAGGGAAGCAAAAATCTGCCACCCCAAAATATGTCTTTCAGGGAGGACGCTAAAGGTTGGGGTCCAGGCTGCTTTGATGTGTCCAGGTAAATTTCTCTCTGTAAGGTCTGCCCCCCAAGACTTCATCCCTTTAGCTCTTCTCCTTGGAGAAGGTAGACCTTACACCTGTATTCCTTCCTTTCCCCAGTAAAGGTCAATACTGCCTCGTTTCACATGACTCCTCCTGCCTTCGCCAGAAGACTGCGTCTAGCCACGTGGCTGATTCTGTGGCGCTGCTCTCGCGTCCGCGTGCGTGTGTGCGTAAATGCCCAGGCTGCGTAAGCGCGAGGATGTCCACTACTGTTTTAGGGAGTGAAAAAATGTAATAAAAACAGGCCTCGAGGGACACCCCTGGTGGCACAGTGAGTTCAAGCGCAGCACTATGAAGCTGTGGCGGCCACTGCAGCAGAGCTGGGTCCGGGCCAGGCAGTGACCCCCGGGCGCCGCGCCTCTCCTGTCGCCCCGCGGCTGCCTCAGCCGGACTTCAGTAGATCCGCCTGTCCCGCTCCCGCTGTCTCTGGTGAAGCCTCTCCCCGCCAGCCCTCCTGCCCGCCATCCTCTTACTTCTGGCCTACACCGTGTTTCTTGTATGCCAAATACATAAATCTTTTTTAAAAA